AATAATTAAAGCTTTCCTTTAGCTACTGGCTGGGAACTGTCAAATAGTCTTAAAAATATGGCCCATGATACTCAATGTTTGCTAAGTCTTTTTTTCACTCAAACTGCTGCTTCTCCTCAATCCCTATGGCTGCAGGCACCAGCTTTAATGGAAATATCCATCCCATGCTCTGACCTTGCACGTGGGCTCAGCAAGCAGGATCCTCAGGGACTGCGTGGGATCACTGCAGCTCCAGCAGGACCAGGCTGTCAGGTCAGAGTTACACAGGTTGGGGCAAAATTTGATCTTTGCTGTAGTAAAGTTGTAGTAGATCTGTGAAAGGAACACAGTGGTCCTTAAATCAGTGTTTCTGCAGTATCTGTCCATGCCAGGTCAAATGATCATGGGCTCTACCCACATCTGGACAATTTTACAATGACATTTAATCATTACTATTTTTTAAATCATTAGTTGTTACTACTACTATATCAACTAATTCTTTAAGTATGTACCCTACTCAAGCAGTAATAAAGGTCACAACTTTGAAGTATATTTTACTACGTTGAAGCCAGAAACCCACATTTCTGTATCTGTCAAGTATTTTTCTTCTCGAACATATAACAGGTATGAATTTTCCCTGATCACAGTCATCCATACCTCTGTAACTGCTACCATACAATCATTTATTGGATGGTGTAATTTGATGGGATTGAGGAGAAGCATGCTCAGTGATTTGGGCCAAAACCAAGTTTTCAGTAATTTATTACTCAGGATTTTGAGACTGTATCAAAAGGACATTATTTCAATTTATTTTACAATTGCACTGCATTATCTGGTATTCTTAATAGATCATTTTCTAAATAGAACAGGTGGTTTTACTGCCAGCAAAATAAAGATGTCATATTGTCAGATATAATTTTTAGAGGCAAAAAATGTACCACAGGGATAATTAGTCTCACCCTCCCATGATTCCACCTAAGCAGCTCATGAAAGACTGTTGTGGCAACATCGCCAAATGTCTCTAGATATATAAATTACACACATATGTCTATTTTTGTAAATGAGATTTGGGAATATCATTAGCAATTGCATGGTGGGAATATTTAGCTCGTTTCAGAGGTTGTAGTGTACTTGCACTGTATGAGCATCCCCCAGCCCCAACAAAAATGTGTCTGTATTTAATCAGTATCTGGATAACCACAATATTAATTTCCCTTTCACCTTAGGTGCTAGAAATATAGTTTTTATCTGTTTCTAAATGTTCTGTAGAACATCTAGTTCCTCCCTCACTCTGCACAAATTTTTTTATAATCATGAAACACACTGCAGGCAGACACTTTGCCCTCCTTTTCTTTTCTTTATGCAACAGATTTAGGATTAATTTCCCCAATTTTACCCCAAACCAGGGCTAATTCCAGGACCAGGATGATAGTTTTACCCCAGCTGTGTTGCTCTCAGGTGTGCACTCCCAGCTGGTGCCACCCCAGGCCATTCCTCCACTAAGTGCTCTGACAGCAAATGCCCCTCTCACTTTTTGTCCATACATCTGTAAGGATGAGTCATTAGGAAAATGCTCATCAATGTTTGCCATTATTTACAGTCCAACAAATCAATGTTTGCCATTGTTTACAGGCCAACATCAATCCCTATCAAACAACAGGGGCAGACCAGTCATGCTATGTAATTGATATGAACCACTCTGCCAAAATGCATATTCCATTATTGGCATGTCTTCCTGCCTAAACGCCAGAAAGCTCTATATATGAGTTCCTGTCACCTTGGAAACGTTTGGAAGGGAAACGCCTACTGCCTGTGGAAGCACAGTATGCAGCCATATAGCAGAGTGAACTGGCCAGCTCTGCTGCGTTTCCAGCTGATCCTGAGGTGGTACTGCAGAAACTTCACAGAAATGCCTCTGAATTTAACCTCATGGGAGCAAAACAGCAGGGATTTAATTTGGATCTGTTCACTCCATTTCCCAGTTTCTCTGAGATGGATCGCTGGGGTCCAGAGCCCACAAAATCTGGAAGAACTACATCAACCAAAGCCTTTTTTGTACATTTCCTGGAGCTTAAATCTTAAAGATTCACTGGCTTTAAGTTGATAGACGTACACTGTAGATTGGGAGACAGGAACTTGGCTGGGGAGCCATAATTTCCTTCAGAGGAACTGCACATATCTTCTCCCTTCTCCTATCTATATGAGAGAGAAAAATCTACATTGTCTTTCCCTAAAAACACATTATTCACCTGACACAAAATCATGACCTTTTTTGATGTTGTTGTTATGAAAATAATTCAAACAGTTGTAAACTGGGACTGAAAAAATACCCCGAATGAAAATATCACAAGAAACTGGCAATCAGTGATATTTCCAGGTGTTCTTCTGAGTGTTTTCTTGAGGGGAAAATCCGTGCTTGGATCTTTTGCGTCCCAACTCAAGGAGTGTGGGAACTGGCAGGTTCAGAGTTAAAATGGTTATAACTATTCCAGATCTGCAGAGAGAGCTATACAGTTAATCACTGCATATTTTTAGCCTACATCTTGTAGCTTTAATCCTGCAAGTGTCTGTATGTAATTTGTTTTATGTAATATGAATAGATGCCATAAAATCAAGATTCCACCATTTACAGAGCTAAGAATGTCCATGTATTTCTCAAGACTGAGGACCTAGAGCATGAATGTCGGGCAATGAACTGGTCACTGTGAGTAATTTATACTCTATACTGTGTGTGCCAGTGGAAATAAATGCTCAGATTAGCAGCATGTGCTTGTGTGCCTGGGATCAAAACCTGGACCTTACTCTCGTAGCAACAATAACAATTACAGAAATATTGCTTACAATTAAGGAACGTTTTCAACTAAATAAATCTGAGAATGCATCTGTCTCTGTGTACAGATCAGGGTGTATTTTAGTGTGGATGATGTCTCAGTATTTTAATAACTGAATCCCTGTGAATCTTTGAATAGCTGGGTTTCTCTAGCACATCATTGAGGCCTAGTGCCAAGAGTGAGGGAACAAGGATCTGCTTTGCTGTGGATCCAGCTGCACTGGTCCTTGACTTTGTCAAAGCAATACAAGGAACAGAAAGGAAACCCAGTTAATTTCCAATTTAGAGCTAAAATCATAGATTCATAGAATGGCCTGGGTTGGAAGGGAACTGAAAGCTCACCCAGTTCCACCCCCTGCCATGGCAGGGGCACCTCCCACTATCCCAGGTTGCTCCAAGCCATGTCTGACCTGGCCTTGGACACTTCCAGGGACGGTTCAGCCTCATCTTCTCTGGGCACTCTAAATCTGGTACCTGAACACTTGATATCAAACAGACAGGCTCACAAGATTCTGCTGCAGAACAGAATATTCAAACTGATTCACTTTATGAACACAGACTTTCACTATGTAAATCACTGAAATATCATCTAAGGATTTTTCATGAAGTGACTTTGTGCATATTTATAACAATTAGAGAAGCTCATACAGAACCTCTAGAGCTGCAGTTGCTGCTGAAGCCAGAGTTGTTCAGAACGCGACATTATAAATGGTCAGCATTACAGGTACATGATTTCTGCTGTAATAACCTTTAATTAGTAACTAGTGGTGAAATCCTTTTGTCAGGATAGTACAGGCTTATTTCTGAAAAGCCATTTAAAACAGGTTCCTTTTGGATCGAAACTTGGAAACCTTCACTATTATAATGTGTGCTCCAGCCCCAAATCCACAGGACTTAACATTGCAGCAAGTCATCTGAATTCACAAAAAGGGTTTTAATCATAATACCACCAACTTGCTTAAAATTTATAAATGTATGCGAATATACACCAAGCTGAAAGTTCACTGAGAATGTCTCTGGCTTTGGTTACCTGAAACCGCCCGAACCAGATATCCCACAGAGGCAGCACAGATAGAGGTGCTCCCACCAGGGTAATTACTGACACTAATATGATGGAATTATTAATGCTGCTGTATTTCCAAAGTGTAAATCATTCTTTTAAAGAACATGTCAAAAGCTCACTCGCCACCACACCCGGGCAGGAGCCGTGTCAGTGGTTCATATTTTAACTTACCTCTGAGAATAAGTAATTTAAACAATCCTGAAGTAGGTAAACACCCCAGTGAGGTGCTCAAGATGGCTCAAACCTCAAGAACTCAATGATTTGAACAACCGCGAGGACCCCGACCGAAGACTACGGCCCTCGGACACCAGACCCAGACCTAAGGACCCCGGCCCTCGGACACCAGACACCAGCCCACGGCTCTCGAACACCGGATATCAGTCTACGGCTCCCGGCCCAGCCCGGCCCGCACCACTCCGTGAGCGGGGGAGACCCAGCAACCCGCGCCGGCAGCGCCGCCCCGCGCCCGCGGCGGTTCGGGGGCAGTTCGCGACCGTGTGTGCGCGGCACCCCCGCGCGCGGTGGTTGGCGCCGTTGCCGTGGCAGCGCGCCCGGCGGCCGAGGCGGGCCCGGGCCGTGAGGAGCTGATCAGGGGTCTGAGCGCGGTCAGCTGTGAGAGAACGGTGCCGGGAACACCGAGTCCGCCCCGGGGTGTCCTGTGGGAGGGCTCGGGCCCTCTGCCGGTACCTCAAACTTTGTTATTTGGGAGTTGGAGCCACACAACCTCACAACGCAGTGGTTTGGCTGAAAGCGTTGGGGCCACTGCTGCATTGGCAGCTCGTTTGATGTTTGTGCCGCTTCTTAGTGCCACCAACATCCCTAAATCAGTAGCCCAGCGTAGGAATCCTGCTTGGCTCTAAGGTGGTTCGTGTCGTTTACTTATTCTTCCATACTTCAAATCCTGAGGTGTGTTTGCTCCTTAACTGGAGAAAAATAGATGTTCTCTTCTTGTTGATTCTTGAGTTCAGCAGAAGGATTTACATAAACGCACTCAAAGGTGAGCCACCTTCGTTAAAATTAATCATATGTACAAGTCTCTCTGTGAGTAAGATGTGAACTGCTCAACCATGTGGTAATAACTCATTCTAGATGACATGCAGAATTTACTGAAATTAATAAATTGTAACAATGTTTGGGAACAGTTTGCTTTGCATTGGAGAACTCTACAAGACTCAAGAACAACTAGTGTTTGTTGGACTTGTGCCCAAATACTTCGGGGTAAAGTCATGGTATGAAGTGGATAAAATACATTCAGAAAGTTTATTACTGAGCTGATTGTTTAAAAAAAAATAAAAATAGAGTCCTTGCTTTTCACTATGACATGTATTCTAGTTGATACTCAAAATGTGTAACTAGCGCAGAGGTATGGCGCTGTATCCAGTTATTTCACATGCATTAAGTATGTACTGAATGCTGTGAATTCACCTCCAGAGATAGTCACCACTATTGCAAGTTGTTGGACATTTGATATGTAAAATGTGTTCTTTTTAGTCAGCCTGGTCATTTGGAAAGAACTGTCAGCATGGAAGATCACGAGATCAGCTATAGTGAGGGAGAACAGCAAATATCTCCTCTAGTGTTTCTAGAGGAGGAAGAAGAAAAACAAGAAGAGGAAGAAGTAGAAGGAGAAGAAGAGGAAGAAGAGGAAGGAGAACAAAAAGAGGAAGAAGAAAGACAAGAAGAGGAAAAAAAAGAAGATGCAGCTGGTCAGCTTCCTAACATTGAAGAACACTGGGAAGGTGAAAATTAATTGTTTTGATAATTCACAAAAAAATGGCATTAATGCTAACTTAATGTAAGATAAACATATTAGATCAATGGCCAGAACCTAGCAATACATTATCCTCCCTTGTCTCTCTCCCTCTTCTTGTCTGTGATTTTCCCACATAAATGGGAAAATTTTCCATTTATGTGGAAAATTCATATCTTGGGGACACTTCCACATGAAGGCAGAGAGCATTCTTCTGTTCATTTGCAGGTGTATAATAGTCCTGTGTGTTTTGCCATATTAATTTTTTAATGTACACTGCAGTAATGCTATAAAATGTCGTCTCTGATTCTCCACGCTGTGACTTGACAGCAAATATAGAAAGCTTTGCATTTTAAAATTCAAAGTCTCTTTATTAAGCTGTTGTTTCAATATCTGCTAGAATATGAGCTGGAAGAAGAGCTGGATGATGGTGGCAAGATGGAAAACAAGGACACTTCTGAAGATGTTGGAGACCAGTCTGATTCTAGCACGTAAATACCTTGTTCCAGTTCAAACAGAATTTCCTCTGTGGTGCTGAGTGACCAGCTGTGTATGATGTCTTAAACTAGTTGAAAACATTCCTGTTAAAATTGTAAACTATTGCTCAGGAAAACTAAAATTGCAAAGCCAAGGTGGGATCAAGAGGAGCCACAAACATTTTAAAACAAAGACACATCATTAGTGCTTTAAATGAGGGTATAAATGTTCAACATTAGATATCCAATACTGAAAATCCTGGCTTAAGTCCATGCATGCAAACTTCCTGTGCTGTGATCATGTTTCTCCTTATTTATGAAGGTCTTATTTGTAACAGTTCTGCTAGAATAAAACTGAAAGCAGGGATTTAAGGATATCAGACAAACTTCATATAATTACAGTTTTGCATTATGTTTCTTTGTTGGTTTTGTGTTCCAATTCAAAGGCAAAGCTCAGAACACTCTCTGGACAATATTGGTAACATTAGGCCTCTGAAGTCTGCAGACAGAATTCTCATAACAGCCTTACAGAGAAACCTCCAATTGCTCAATGACATGGTCAGGGAAAAGGAACTGGCAGTCCAAAAAACCAGGTTTGTGTTTAAGCAAACATAATCCATCAGCATAAATCACCAACAAATACTTAGATACTGTATCTGTCATAAATACTAGTGTTTCTAGAACTGTGTATCTGACAGGAATCCTGGCTGTGAATCTTGCTTTCAAAAAGAAGAGTTTCACTGGGAAGAGAAAAGAACCTACAAAACATAAATGATGTGTTTGTTTCTTGCAGTGACACGCTGAGTGCCTGTCGGCTGCAGAGCAAGATGCTGGCAAAGCAGCTGGATCATGTAGACATGGAAATAGAGAGAGTGGAGGAGCCTGGCAATGTGTAGGTAGAAAGTATTTCTGGATACCAAGGATTACAGACATCCACTATATTCATTTTTTGTGTAATTAATGAGATAAGAGCAGAAAGAGGTGGAAACTTGGGAATGGGTAGGAAAGAGGCTTATATTTGAAAATGTAACAACGGGTATTAAATCAGCCTAGCCCACTGCTGTCAATTATGTCTTTCTGGGTCTCAATCTTCTATTCAGTCTGATGAATCAAGATGCTGTGGCACTCCTGGAGGTCATAGCTTTGCTTCTGGTGATTACTCAGTCAGAATTTATATGTATGTATATGTATATATTTTTTTAAATACACACATACACGAGCCATTCCTTTCTTGCGTTGTTCTGGAATTCAGGAATGCCTTTCAGGAGCAGCTCTGCATACAGGAGCTGCTGCTCTGAAACACTTGTGGTACCAAGTGGGAGGCAATTTACTGTACTCTTCACATTTGGTTTAAATAGAAAGTAGTGGGTGGCTTGTGTACCAGGAGCCAGAGGCTTGTGAGCAAACTTTGCAGCTGCATTTCTAGCCTGTGTTAATCTCCAGGTTAGAGCAGTGATGAATGAGAGAAAGGAAGACAGGTTAACTGCCAGAATGGGAGAGCTGCTTAAACAAAACTGATGGGTTGCACCACTCCTGAGGTAGTGCAAGTGGGATCTCAGAGACAGTAACAAATCCCAGCGAAGACAGAAAAGCAGTGTAATGTTTATCCTTATGATGGCTCACATGGAGAGGTCTAGATATGGAAAAAATAGCAATTCTCCAAATCTCTTACATTTAGCAAGTGACTAGTGGAGTGAGAAAGCTTAATAAATTTCTGGCTTATGAAGTTCAAAGTCTTTATGTTTTAGCAATAATGCAAATCCTGGCTGCCTTTAGCACTACCAATGCCAATACAGAAATGTTGAATTTAGAGGAGTAGCTGCAGGTAGGAGATCAATTTTCATTTAGAGGATGGGAGTTTGAATATAGTCAGGCCACTGTCTGTGGATCCTGTAGTACCTGTCTGCTAGTTTTCCTGGGCAGAGAAGGAAAATAACTGTGGGAATGCTGCAGTTGTAGGCTAAATATATGGAATACTGTAGTTCCATTTAAAAAGCAAAATCGGTCTAGGTTCTCTAGGTTCACCTACATTTATCTTCATGAATAATACTACTTTTAACAGTTTGAGAAGTGAATAGTTGCATTAAGCTACTGGTCAGTGCTTTTGAAATTCTCATCTGTTCCTTTCAACCAGTGCGTAAGAGTTTAAAGAAAGTTCTGCCTCAAGAATGGACACTTAAAAGGTTAAACAAGAGGCTGCATAAATTGCTGGGGTTCTGATGAATAAATCTGAGCCATAGAGCTGTGCTTTATTCTTGCTGATCTTGCAAGGGGGACTATGTTCATGCTTCTTTCTGGTGGGTTCTCTCTAATGTTGCCAGTGCAGCTGTGTCCCGCCTGCAGGCCATGAGCAGCCGATTGTTCACTGAACTGGAGAGAGAGAAGGAGCTGGAGCTGAGACTTGCTCTGATATTAAAACAAAACTTGTAAGTGAGGGAATGAAGGAAGTGTGAAGGGAATCAATCTTTATTACACTTTTCATACGGTGTTGGATGGATTCAAAAGTTAATCAATAGAGAAATTGCTTGTAAATACTGAGCTACATCATTCGAGGGCAACTTTTAGTCTGCATGGTTCATTCCTTATAAAGCTGGCTGTTGTGGCTCAGTCTGCAAGTTAGTTTTGCACATGTAAATAAAGTTTTAATTTTATTATGAGAGGTGCATAAATTGTGACCTAGACAGGTCTCATTTGAAATTTAAAATAAGCTGTACTAAAGTAAATCTGTCTGTGAATGAGCATAAATACTTGTAATTTATGCCTCTTAGTGTTTTTATAGGATATAAAGGAAAGGATGGAAAATGAGCATGGATGGAGACATTGTAACAGTACTGTGTATTTTTATGCCAAGCTAATATTGCTGCTTGTAATTGATTGTTTGCACAAAATACTTCTTTATATCAAATAGAGTAAAATTGTCTGTTGCAGGAGGCAACAGGTGAGTGTGTTTATATTTTGGTACCACAGGTACATCAAAGGAGGAACACAGGCACGAGCTTCTAGCTGTGATTAGCCAAGTGGTTAACCAGGATACAGTGTGTTCTGCTGCAATGTTGTGTAATAGCTTTAAAATGCTTGACTTGTTTATTGTGTGATTAGCAATACTCAGTACAGATTAATGTACTCAGCTCTATCATATCTGGCTCCTTCAGCAGAGCACAGAAGAATTAAAGCTGTGGCCTGTCCCTGAAGTTATTTATTGTTGAAGAAAAAGCTATTTTTAGAATTTTTCTTGGTTTTCATATTTTCTTCTAGGTAAATGGGAGAAACACAAACTTGAAGTTTATTTTTTTTTACCTTTTTTTGACCAATATTTTTGATGTGTTTGAAAGGGTTATGCCTTAAAGGGTTAGATATGAGCCTTAGTCTGGAACACCTGTGTCAATAAAAGGGTTTGATTCACAGTATGTTTTAAAATAATAAAAGAAAACATGGTTACATGTTTATTTTCCCCATAGAGACTTCCCTACTCAATCTTATCACCTTAAAATGAAAGAATATCAGTATTCCAGTAAAAACAATCCACACTTTTTTTTAAAGGGTTGACCTGTGGCAGATAGAAACTGAGCAGGGAAAATACGACATCCTCTGTGAACAACTTCAAAAAGACGAGGAGGAGCTACAGATGCAATACCAGGAGGAGAGAGAAGTGAAGATTTGGAAGGAAAAAATAACAGCCCTGCAAGCAGAAGGAACACATCAGACTCGAGAGAAGTAAGATCCTCAAAGTCAGAGCCTGCTGCCTTTCTTGTTTTATTTTCAGCCAATTCTCTGCTGCAGGTGCTGAGATTAGCTAGTTCAAATACTGGTGCTACTCTGTGTTTTAGCTGGGTGTGCTTAAGGAATATTTGATGAGGAATATTTGACGAGGAAATGGAATTAAAATAAGAATTGGCCATGGCCTTGCAGTTGTGATCTATAGGAATAAACTTGTTAATAAAAAACCTATAAATGCAGGCTTTTTTCCCATAGGAAATGAGGTATATTGGGTCAGACTAACTGCATAAGTCTGCAGTGCTTTTGGCCTCCAGGAGCTTCTGGACTTACGGTGAAGTCCACTGAGATTTCCTAGAGCGGAAACAGACACCAAAAAGCATAAAAGTGCTCTTCAAAAGCAGAGCAAAAGTGTGTCAGTCTGGCTTTTGTGAAGTTTATCACTTTGTCTATAATATGGGGGATGTGGGGAACAGACAAATGTCCTAATTTCAGCACATATTAGTAAACTCCCCAACCCCACCCTGAGGTCTCATTGTATTGGAATCAAATTTTCCTTAGTCCTACTGCAACTGTTGGTTTGTCTGTGTTTTGCAGAAGAGAGGAGGAAGCCTGGAGAGAATGTGAAGAAAGAAATAAAAAACTTCTTGAGAATGCCAAAAGGAACCATGAGAAAGCAGTCTGTTTCCTGAGGCAAAGTATGGCAAGGTGGGGCTTCACACCTTTCCTGTTGAACATTCTCTGCTGGGCAAGAATTTATCGTCCAGTCTGTGGAAAATAATGATTTTTCTGCAAGGTGTGTCTTCTGTTGCACCTGGAAATCCCATGCCAGGTACAGTGTGGTGAAGCACTGAGATCTTACCGAGCACAAAAGGACATGGAAAGAAGAAAATCCACTCAGAGTCCTAGCATGGCCTCCAGATTCCCTGGAGTCTTTGTCCTAAGGGCTCTGACCACTTGGAGGCACTGATAATGATTTGAAGCATTTTATATGTGTGTGTGTGTGTGTGTGTGTGTGTGTGATTAACTGAAGTAGTATAACTAAAATCCGGGTTTGAAACCTGCCCTGTGCCATTCTATGTCCCCTCAGAAAAATAAGCATCAGTGGGTTGATGGGTCATTTCTTTGTGTTCCTGCTCTGGTTGATTTTAAATTAAATGTTCTTTCATGAGTTTATGTTATTACTCTGGTGTTGAATTATTGTGCTTCTGAAGAAACTGAACATTTATACTTATTTTACATATATGCAAATATTAGGACTTAATTTTAAAATTACTGAAAAGTACTGTTTCTGCACTGGTTTATTTTTATTAGATGTTGTGTACAAACTGATCATAATTAAGAAAAACAAAGTCAAATAGATTTTTTTTTCTTTACAAATGTATCAAACATATCAATTTTTTTCCTGGTTTCCCATTATATTAGCTGGAATACTCCCAGGTTTGATCCCTGCCCACATATTTCCATCTTGCAGAGTTTTTAGGGTTTATTTTTAGTGTGGGTGCATGTGCTTGGCTTGTAAAAGTTTGCTACATAAGGTTTAGATAGTGCTTATATGAGCAACACCTGAATTCTTTGTTAGCAGTCAGTCATGTCGTAACATGAAACACATTCTTCATATCCAAAATTTAAAAAAAAATAAAGTTGTTGAGCAAAATATTTGAAAACCTGTTGGCACTTGGAGCTTGAGTGGTGCCATGTTTGGAGGAGTCTCTGACTGTTCCCCTCTGCCCACAGCCAGTGCCCACCAAACGGGTTTACAGCAGCAGTGCCTGGGGACATTGGTAATTATTCCTTGTCAGCTCAGACCTTCTAATACCAAGAGCTTTCCAGGATGAGTGCCTGAAAGATTTTACTTTGCTTACAGAATTTGTGAAAAAAATGCAAAGGAAGAAGTGAAAGCTCAGGAGCATATGGAGAGAAGGATACAAGCTGTGCTTTCCCTGAAAACCAGCATCACTTCCAACAGGGTACTGATGGGAATGAAGTCACTGACTTGGGAGGCTGCTGGGTTCTAGTGCAAGTCACTTCAGTTTTCCTTCCAGAGCTGTGAAGTGATTTTTGATCAGATCAGTGACAAAACCTCTTGAAACAGGGGACAGTTTAACCGTTGGAGGGATGGCATGAGATCTGTGTGGGCAGGTTTTGACACTTCTGCTGATGCAGTTTATTCTGTCAATAGTCTAGTTGTTCTGTGAGGGGAACTCTCTGGGAAATAATACATACTAAAATAAATTCTCTGGAAGTTCAACCAGAAGGATTTCCAGTTATTTGGATCCCAGTGCAGAAATATTCCACATGGAGAAAACATGTGGAAGAAAAACAGTTATTTGAGAATTTAAATAGTATAAATTAGGAATTTCTGAGCTATGCTGCTTTGCTTTTCTATTTATGTTCTGTAGAATCTGAGGGAAAGATCTTAATTTAATCTGGATTTGATTAGAACTGTTATCTTTCCACATTCCTTCATTAAGCAGCATTTCAGGGGCAGACTGGAAGGGTAGAGAAGTACCCTGGACCTAGTCAGAGCTTTCTGCATTTCAGCACCCCATGACTACAGAGAATATTACAGACAATACCTTCTGCTTCAGAGACATCCACCATAAATGTATACTTGGATAAGGGGACCGGCATTACATTCTCTGTTTTATATTCTTTAATATGTGAATCAAATACGTAACTGGTTTGTGTGACTTTCATAGGAAAGGCTCCAAAGTCTCCAGATTTTGAACAAAGCAAAGGCCTTGGAAGCAAAGAAGGAGGAGATGAAAATGAGGGAGGCCATCCTAGCAGAAGGAAGCAATGTTATCAGGGAAATTTTTCTCCATAAACAACAGCAAGAACATGAAAAAAAGAAAGAGTGAGTATCATATCTGTATCAAACTCTGCCTGCTCCCTGGGGCTCAGTCAGATCCTGAAGGCAGAACATCTCTGATGCTGCCTGGAAGGAGTGAACTCCCTCTCCCACTGTGTGTGTGACACTTGCACAGTCTGTTCTTGGTGCCCTGAACTCCTGCCTTAGGGATGCTCAGAGCACCAGAGCTCCCTGGGTGTTCCATGATCAACTCCTCCAGGAGTGGAGTTCAATGACCCTAAACTGGAAACCTGAAGTAACTGTCCTCCTCTGAACACTGTGGAAGTCTATATCAGCCTTCTAAAACACTGTAACTGAGTATATTTAGTATGCAGAAGTGTATAAACAGCCTCTGAATCACTTGATGTCTTGGCACAAATTACCACTGTGCCCAACTTAAAGACTTGCTATTTAGCTAAAAGGCTCCAAGGCAGCTGAGTTGTAGTTAATATTATTGGTAAACAACTGTGGTTGGGTTAATATTTCATATAATTTTGGGTTACAGAGCTTTTAGAGAACTGCAGAAGTCAAGAAAAATGGAGATTGTGTCTCAAATTTTGCAAGAAAGAGCTTCTATTCACAAGCAGAGAAAAAGTCAGTCCCCTACTAAGGCAATTATGGCTCATGGTAAACTTGAGGATCCTTTCCTGCAGAGGGGGGAAGCCTGGCAAAGTGAGGAGACCTGCAAACATGCAGATGGGGAAATATCACAGGTAATCAAAGGCCTAGGAATTAACTCTCTTTAGATTGTTTTGGTTTTTTTTGTTGAACATGCAGGTCATCAAATTCTGTTTAAAAATAGCACAGGCTACAACTAAACATGAGACAGTAGAGAACAAGTGGACAGTAATTTCCCCATCAGATCTCTTAGTATCTGTTAGTTTCCTTTTCCTCAAAGGAGATATAGTGACTTTTAACATAAGATTTTGTCTGTATTCAGTGTTTTAAAAGGGGATTGGTCTAAGTTGGCATCTTTGGCCTCTGCGCCAAAAGCCAAGAGGCCAGAAGGCCAAAGACCTGTCATTTTTGTGTTAAAAGATCTCCTCAGAAATTTACAGCTGTTAAAGTAACTGTTCTCTAGTCATTCTTAGCTGTATCTTCAAAACCTGTGTTCTTTCATCGAAGTCGTGGCACTCTCCATCAGTTTGTTCCTTGGCTGGGGAGGAAACTGCTCCCCAGGGAGAGAGTTCTGAGGACATACCCCAGCATGTGCTCTGGGAAAGTGGTGATGAGGACAGAGAGAGGGACAAGACGCTCCTGGTACCAGAGTTCCCAGGACTTTGGAGTCAAGAATATGACTTGCACGAGGTAAATGTTGTGATATTTCTTGTTAGAAACAGAAAAGAACCTTGCTTGATACCAATAATTGTGTATTTTGCAGTTAAAATGCAGACATTATGTTATTACATAGATGCAGAAATTCAGATGTGAGAATATCGTCAGTCATTGCTTTTTGACACTGGTCTGGAGGAGAGAAAACAGTACTTCAGGTTTAGTTCAGAAATCTGTGAAGACATAAATCACATTATGTTTAATTGTTTGAGTTTAAGAAGACTTCAGAATAGATCAAAAAAAGTCATGTCAGTACATATTCCTAGACTAGCATGGAGAAGCACTGGACCATGACTGAAACATTCCAGTGAAGTCAGCTGATATTTTTTTTCTCAAGTTTAATAAGGTGAGGGGGGAAAAAAACCCTTAAAGTGCAAAAAAGTTAATTCTGCCATGAAAAGCATGATGATGTAGTGTTGGGTGATGATAAACTGCAGAATAGATAGCTAAGAATCCATTCAATTCTTCATATTGAGGTCGGGATGCTGAGTTTGACTGGAGAGAGCCAGACAAAAGCTGGCCAGGTGCTGGAAGATTCCTTTTGCAATCTTTCTACTGGAGCTGAAGATTCTGTGATCCCACACAGAATGTTTTTTCCACACAGGTGTTTTTTCTGCATGTTCCTTTTTAGGTGCCCAAAGCAGAAGATCCAATACAGTTGGCTATAAGGGCAATGATGAAACAAATAGCTGAGAAAAAAACGGAGAAACTCCAAACTGGAATTCTTCATAAGCAAACTGTGCCTGGCCAGGAACATAAGAGCTGTGCTTTCCACAGCAAACCCAGCTGCATTCATTTCAAGGTCAGTGGCCATTTTGCATGGAAATGTAGAGAGGTATCTGCTGGAGGTATATCCCTATAGATCAAGATTCTGTTGCAGCCTTTAATAGGTCTGTAATGAAATTTGAAACAGCTCTTGCCTTTTTCTCTAACAATCTCTTAGTTAAATGATAGATTAAATAAACTAGTTATTTTTACTGTCTAAATTATAAAATTTTTCTTAGTGGAGTTTAAATACTGTGAGAAAGGTGAGCAGATGATGAGCTCCTGTTGGACTGTGTTGTGTGTTTTTTGAACGGCAGCATGACTAGTACTTGTATATTGTTTGTAAATACATTATTACTGTAAAATAATGTCCTTAAAGAAGTGGTGAGTCCCATGCAGGTAAATTTCATTTAGTCAGCAATACTGTTAATAACTCACTTAGACCATGAGCATGATATCATGTCTCTGACATTCACCTGGTATGTTTGGCATTCCAAGGATTTTGATGTTGGTCAAATCTACAAAAAGAAGATAGTTTTGACAAATGCATCCTACAGTGCTAATTACTGCAGGCTGGTGGGAATCAGTGAATGTCTCAAGGACTTCATTAGTGTTCAGTAAGTAAATTAACTGCCATCTTGTTTTACCTTTGTACCACAAGAGCTGGAACTCAATTCTGTATCAACTGAAATTTCTGCTTCATGGGTTAACCCTGCAGGCAGAGAAATTCCACAGGGCAGCTCCTCAATCCCTCCTGAGTGGGATGGGGGAGAAAACTGGGGGGGAAGAAACATCAAACTTATGGCTTGAGATAAACACAGCTTAATTGGACAGAAAAGGAAGAGAAAAAAACTGATGAAATAAAGGAAATCAATCTCAGAGCAAAGAGCACTTAAATTGCAGTCCTGTGGTCTTTCCCATCAATCTATTCCTGTAATCCTGCTGCCAGGTTATGTAATGAAGCACCGTGTCTTCATTATGGGAGATATGTTTTCAGTTGGGAGATTACAAATTAATCTCATTTTAACTACATTGATAATTTTATCTCACTGTTTATAAGTAAACAAAAGGAGGTATCCACAAAATGTTTCTTTTTAAGAATCCGGATACCACCTCTCTCTGGACTGAGCCTTTAAGTAAATAAAAGGCAAGTTGTGAAAAGTAGTATTTCTTAAAAAAATTAAGTCAGGAAAATAATTTATTTACCTGGAATTCTGTGAAACAAACAAAAAAAATTATTGTAGTCTAGCCTAAAAGTGAAAAAAATGCTAAAGCTCCTGTGTGTAAGTGAAGCTTATGGACAAATAGGAGACATGAAGGTGAATTCATTTGGCTTTTGGAGAAAGTTCAGGTTTCAACCCTTATGCTGACCTGGAGAAGCCACCTGTGGGACAGTTTAATGACACCCCAGTAAACAAACAAGTTATTTCATCACTGTAAGTGATTTCATACTCCAGAGCTCCTTTCCCAGCTCACTGTCCACTGTCTTTGTGGGGATAAACCGCACATGGAATTTCTGGATCATCTGATAAGGAGAGGATGGTCCAAGGTGAAGCCATTCCTTGACCACTTTGCCCCCACAAGAGTCCCCAGGAATGTGAACAGAGAGTTCTTGACTGTACAACATCTCTGGAGAGCTGTAAAGTCTGAATCCAGCTGCTGTGGGTGGATTAGGAAAGGTGTGGAACACTTCATTCCCAGCCTGATGGATGTGGATAATTGAGCAGGACAGCAGAACCCTTCAGCTACTAAACCTGCTTTGGTGCTTGACTCCATGTGTAGCTCCTGATTGGATCAAAATCACATGTGTGGATTTAATTTTGACCCACTTACACATGTTTAATTTCTGTGACAAAGCCTGAAGCTACTAATCTGACAAAATGAGGGTTTTCTGCTGTCAGAGATTGATTTTTTTCTTCTCATTTAATATGTTGGACACTTCCATATGATAAATCAGCACCTCTGGTTTGTGACCATAAATTAAACAATGCTTTTTGAAAGCCGTAAGTCTTTCCGTGTTATAATTGCCTTTCAAAGTACCCTCCAAATACAAATGAAACATCAAGAATTGTGAATGATTTTTCAGTGTCTGATAAATTAATTAACCTTTTGAAAATTAAATTTCTTCCCCACACATTTGCCAGATGGATAGCTAGCAAAAATAATCCAAGATTTTTTTCTCAATTGTCATGTTAAGTAATAATTTGACCAGCAGAGCACAGACCTGTGTACACTGATCCTACACTGTATAAAGTTTATTTCAGGTAGAACCAGACATAAATTGTTTATTACAAAATAGTTTTGCCAAGTATTTTGAAAATACCCAGCACATCTACACTGTCATGGTGCACTGTCCTTGGAATCAGTGCACAGGTATTTAGAGACATAATACTTGAGAGCTGTTATCAGTGGCAAGCACTGTATTTGCTGCTAAAAAGCCTTATTCTAGTGGTTAAAATGAGCATTATTACATTCCATGCAATGAACCTCTCCTTAGCAGAGTGGTTCTGTGTGGGTTTGTGTGTTTGGCAGTTTGTGTTCTAAATCAGAACTATTTTGTCAAAGTAACAGTTGAAATAACTATTCCTTAAAGTCATTCTCAGGAGAAACTGCCAGGGACCTGTTCAGAAGGTTAGAATGCAGGTGCTTATTCCTTGTCCACATTTTAAGCTCATGAATTCAGAAATGTTTCCTTTCTGAAAATGTTTCATTTTGGTTTGGTTTGAGTTTAATTTTGTTTTGATAAAACTGTGAAGGGCTAATATGTTCTGTGTCTCACTTGGCTTAGGGGCTCCCATGGCTGACAACACTTCCTTATCTCCTCTGCCTCTTCTGCCAGGCAGAGCAGGGCTCCAGGAGTGCCTCAATAATTTCATTTACAGTGCAGCTGTGAGATGCCTTTTCTTCTCATGGGCATTTTCCCTGCCTCACACAGACCATGAAATGAGTGGCAGATTCTATTCAAGATAATTTTGATACAACTGGAAACAACTAACACATTCTGTAATCATTTGCATGTCCCTACATGGGTTTTTCGTCTTCATTTTGTGTTTGGACAGGGGAGATGTTACAGATCAACATTAAAATGGATAATGGGAGAAGTTGCTTCCTAATTGTCTGACAGGGCAGTTCCACCTGCTCTTGCTGATTTTGAGCCTCAGCTTCACCTCTTTGGCTACAGTCCCTGTATTGCCTTTTAAAAACAATTTTAAAAACAATTTATTCTTTCTGAATAAAACCTTATTAAAGAATCAGCCTTTGTTGTTTCCCAGTTGCAGCAGGGTTCTGTAGCCTTTCATTAATCTGTCATTCATTCTGACTTTTCTGATAATTAGTCCAAGTGAGGGAAAAAAAAATAATCTGCCATTGTTACCAGAGCAGGAGCTGGGTGTTCCATCCACAGCTTTAATTTGGAATTTTATGTTATCTCCATAGTTTTGACCCACCTGGCAAAATGTCTTCTGGGATGTCCTGTGAATTCCTAGTAACATTTAAGCCAATGGTAAGTGTACAGTGAAGAGAATCCTAGTATAGGTGACTAGTCTGATTAAAACCATCATTAATTGAATTTCTTAACTGTTAACAAGGAAAAAAACCTACGTTTTTAGAAGAGCTACTGTTGTATATGGACAGCGGTGTGCATGTTCAAGCTCTGATAAATTGTCATAACGCAAATTCTGAGGGCACATTCGGAAAAATGCCTCCAAATGAGAGCAAGTTTCCAAATATTTATAATCTTGACCAGCTAAAGTTAACCAGGCTGTCACAAAGACTGTTTTAAAGTGGAAACATAGAATCAGTAATGATGCATTTTAATATGATACTCCAAGAATGAGTGAAAATATTTTTTATCAGACTACATAGGCTAAATCTTCTGAAATTACTTAGGGTTTTTTTCTGTTTTGGTTTCTAGATAAATGAAGGACTGGAAGGAGCAGTCATATTTATGGCCCAGACAGGTTCTTTTTCTGTTCCACTGAAATGTACAGTCAAGACCTGCATTGTAAGGGACCTCTTTTAAGCATGTGGATAATATAATTATTATTATAAAAAGCGGATGCTCATTTAATTGACATTAGTGCTATGTAGGCCAGTGGTAATTAATGGTTTATCTTCTCACAGCTGGCTCTGGATAAAGAGCTCATTGACTTTGGCAGCCTTGTGGTGGGAGAGACAATTTCACGGACCATCAGCCTGACAAACAGCGGGGCTTTGGGAACCAGATTCAAAGTTCAGACGTCAGCAGGTGCTACAAGTACCCTCAGAGCAACAGTAAAAGCTGCTCCTGCAAGAGTGGTGGGTTCAAAAGCACTTCCCTAAAGGAGTAGAAATGTTCTGCTTTGGGAAATGTGGTGGAGTTATGCAGAGTCACAAAGCAGCTCAGGTCAGAAAGGACTTGGGAAGATCATCTGGTCCAACCTTTGGTACATTTGGGTCAGTACAAATATAATCTGTTAGAACCAAATACTGGAAGATAAAAGCAATTATTTTGTGAGAAGTGGGGAAAACCAACAATGCTGATTTTTTAAGTACTTTAGTAATTTATGTCATGATTCCTATTTTCTCCACATTCATGACAATTAGAAGAAAATACTTCAGTTAATAGAGGAGATTCTGACAGAGTCATTAAAAATCTTAACTTGTGGAGGGCAGAAACATGTGAACTGATGCAAAACTCACAATGAAGTGAGGGATGTGATAAAGAGAAGGCTGGTTTCACCAGACTTAATTTTGACATAGAGCTGACTGGGTTTCCACTAGAAGAATGTTGGTTCTGTTCATTGTAAAGTAACTGGCACTGCACTGCATTGCTCCTGTTATATTATTTACCTGTTTGGGGCAGCCAGCAAAAAACTCAATCTGCTCATTGATAAAGGTCTTGTAGAATGTGCAGTTCTTGGAAAGTGCAACACATTTCTCCATTTATAACATGGAACTGTTGCAGGAAAACACAAGTCTGATTTGCATAAAACTTCTGCTGGATAGAAATGGAGCTGGTACAAGGCAGAGGAAAAAATCTGTCGGGAGAAAATCCATCTCTGTGTTTCCTAATAGGTCACTCAACATCCCAGTGCCCATGACCCTGAAGAGGAGGGCATGAGTCCTGTGGCAGCTGGAGATCCAAACGAGCAGATTTGTGCTGAGCCCAGGGAGGGGGTGACCCTCTGTGCAGCTCAGGAGCCCAAGAGCAGCAGTTCCATGGGTGAGGTGATGCTTTGGAACACGGCCCTGCACTTCCTCAGGCCAAGCTTTATACAGCTGTAGTCTCCTGTAAATAAATGAGCAATTCGGTTTGCAAAGTTACTCAGTAAATTCATCACTCCAGGAGTAATGTTATATTTCTTTGCATGATGTCTCACAGAAGATTGCTAAAAATAATGTCTTGACACCATTATATCAAAAGTAGCAGAGAACCTCACTGCTCATTAGTGATCAACAATTCAGTTTCAGAAGAACACAGAACCCAACCAGCTTCAGAAATTGCAAAATTGTTAACATCATCCTTGTCTCAGCAACTGAATCCCCACTTCTCAGAATAGCAATCCACATGACAGGTTTATTTTTATAGTCTGTAATTCTAAGAACTAGGAAGCATAAAGATGAACCTCCTCAGACACTTTCCATCTCATTCCTAATGTTTACTATGTGCTTAATAAAATCCAGTCTTGTAGAAGAAAGACTTTCTTAATTTGTTTCTTAACTATATTCTTTAACATTTCTTCCCAATATTGATCATTCCAATTTCAGGAAGCTGACAGTTCCATGCAAAGTGGTTCTATGTGGGTGGTTTCTGCAGGTCCTTCTGGCTGCTTTCCTATATCCCTATATTCCTATATCCCTGAAATTGCTCTTGAAGGTCATCCCCTCTTCCAGCTGAGTCTGTATTTTTGAACCATTCATGTTGTTACTTAGCAGTGGAAAGCTCAGGTGCCTCAGGTAGAATTCCAAACTTGATTAAAGCTGGGTGGCCAAACAAATATTTCCTTCCACGCATTCCAATTTTCCCATCACTGCTGTACATGCTTGGATTTGCAATATTGACTCAAAGTAATGTGCTTGTGCTTTGTTGGATATTTTTTCGATGGACACATTCAGCATTTTGTTTTGTTTTGTGTTTGTTTCTTTCCCCAGAGCAACTTGGTCAAGGAGAACTAAATACCAGATCAGATCTGGACACAGATAATGCAGATAATTTATTGGAGTTTTTTCCTGAAGAAATACCAATTGAAATTATGCTTGGAAAGGTAATGAATGCTCTGAGATCCAGACAAGATTTCCTTGGTCTAAGCCTACATCAGATAAATTGCTGTGGTGAGAAATGGTCAAGTACACATGGCCATTCCAAGTCAACTAGACATCACTGTATCACAGTTAATTCTTAAAATGAAATCACAGCACACTACTCCCCTTTCTCTTGATCTATACAGACATACAGTGCTGAAAGATTCTGTGTACATTCACATTTTCCACAATTTAACTCTTTTTTCTGCTATATGGTTCAGTGGTTAAACAAAGTCTGGTGACAACACACAAGGAGGGGCAGGAAGAATATTTGGGAAATGTCAAATTTGAGCCCTATTATTGTTCTGATTCGGATTTTTCCTGTGCATAGTGAGTTCAATTCAATTACCAGGTGTAGTAGACTGTGCATATATCATTATGTACAGCCTCTTTATTTCAATGCAATTTCTAGAGTTTCTTTGTTGTTGCTCAGGTGACTGAGGGTGAGATTGGACCCTTCAGCTTAGTGAAAATCCCAGTCCTGTTTGTCCCAGCTGTCCCTGGGGATGTGAGGGCAGAGTTTGTGATCGTGTTTGACAACCCAAACTGCAAACCAGTGAGTGACCTGCTTCAAAACTTGTGTAAAATAGTTTAAAATCTTCTCATTTGTGCTTTTCTCAAGAATGATGTATTAGGTAGTTTGATGGGAGGTAGTTTAGTAAGTCATAGCTCTTATTTCTGATGCAGGATGTTTGTTAAACCTGCTCATTCTCTTAATTTCTATGCAAATAATACCAATATTCCCATTTTATTAGACATCATATTAAAAAATATCTCATGTCCTGGAAGCCTATGTGGAAGTATTCTCCCTTATTCCCAGTCCACACAGTTTATTTCCTTTCTGATCTATCAGAATTGGAATTATTTAGCAGGCAGTAGTGAAGCTGATGTGTGAAAGCTGGAAGAGATGACAACTTTAGTTACCACTTCAGCATATTCTAAATTTTATTGGAAGCCAAATTCTGCTTGGAACAGTTCACAGAAGCTTGCCAAAAAATAAAGACAAACTTCCCAGAAGCTCGGCAGCCAGTCTTGGCAGTCCCTAGGGTTGCAGAAGGAGCTGCAGATATCTGCTGAGGCTCCTGTGGGCACTTTCTCCACCACTCTCTCCCCAGGAGAGGAGGGCTTTGCAGGGTTTAGCTCCGTGGGCCCTGGTGCCGGACCCAGGTTACTGCAGGGAGCACAGCCCTGTGCTGCCTTCCCTGCATTTCTGTGCTGGCTGAATGAGCTGCAGCTCCAGGGGACCCTGGATTTCAGCCCATTCACTTCATCTAAAGGCACTTTAAATACTTCTTTTCAATATCATGGGCAGATGTTCTTCCTTCAAGTTCCCTGTCAAAGAATCCATCCCAAAGTATAATTATGTTTTTCTGCTGGAGCACTGTAACATCTTGGGTTTACTTTGCAAATGATTTTCCTAGGTCTGCTTCATGAAAGAACCTGTTGCTCCACAAATAATAAAATATTTTACTCTGCTGAATTTATAGCAGAAATTCTTGCTGTAAGTCAGTAAGAATCTGAGACTGACAAAACTAATCCCTTGTCATTGCTGCCCTGCCAGCTGAGCTTCAGTGCCATTGGAGTTTCTGTAGATGTGCCCATCTGGGTGCCCCAGCCCAGCGTGGACTTCAGAATCTGCCTGTATGAGCGGCTGTACCAGGACAGCGTTGAGGTGTGTAGCAGGTGAGCTGCCCTGGGGCTGCCTCTGGCCTTGGCACTGCAGGGGCACATCCTGAAAGCCTCTGAGCTCTGGAAATTGGTCTTGGGCATCCTGCTATCCCAAAATCCTAACCCCAGCCTGAGCTATGAGATATCCACAACCCTCCCCACTCCTGCCAGATTCCCTGGGTTGTTCCTGTTCTTTGGGGGAGCTATGAAGTTCCTAGGGAATAGCAATCCCACAGTTTCCTCATGTGGAATTTGCACACTAAACATTTAGGGAGATAAATGTGTCCAAAATTAAGTGCACATTGGGTCAATTCAACCAGGAAATTTTGTTGTTTCTCAGCTATTTTGTATTCAATTAAAGTCCTGGGGGGACCTAGGATCTGGAAGCCAGTTTCATGAGAGTCTTTCCAGACCTGGGATTAGATGCTGGATAAATCATTTCAGTCCTTCTGCATTCACTCTAAAATAGGAAAAGTGCAGTTCTGCTCACCCATGGAGGCATTAAGGTCTCCACTGAAAGGACAGGTCCCTCTGATTACACAGAGAGTGACCAGACAGTGATTAACAGGGGAAAAATATCTGGGTGTTTAAAAGTCAAGTCAGTCACGTCTGAAGACTGGTTCTGTTTGCACTGTGATATAAAGGGAATATTCCAGCTCCTTGGCTTCTGGAGATTTCCTGCTATTAAAAGTAGTTATGAGAACATTTAATTGTCTTCAGGTGCTGGGTGCTTTCCCTCCACCTAATGCAGTCACTATGGAGTTCTTATTTTAACAATTTGCATAACTTGGAGTCTATTTCAATAGGATTGGGGTGGGTTAGTGGGAGGGTGGGGGAGAGATTGGTTATGTGGAAGGCATCCATTCTAAACCTCTTACCAGAATTACAGACAGCAGAGATTCTTCACAGTTGGAAAGAAATGAGTAAAACTGTTATCTCAGAAATTCAGCTTACAGATATGACAAGCACAAGTTGTTATGCAAGTGATTTTACTTGGTCTAGATAACCCAGGGATAAAACTTATAAGTATAGAAGCAGAATAACTCTCCTAACAAAACTTAAGAGTTCAAGGGGATCCCAAAGGTAGAAGCTGTCAAATTGCTTAGGGCAAAACTTCTTAACTGAGGGAAAAATCCTGTTGATCCTTTGCCAAGTTTCACTAAATTAAGAGCATTTAGTATGTAGTAGCCTGTCCTTAGTGCTTTGGCAAGTCAAGGCTTTGATTTATCACCCAGTTTCAATAATTAGGAAAAATTGCCTGTTATACAGTCAGGTAGGCTGAAATTCAGTGTATTTCATGTGCAGAAATACCGTGTATTAACTTTTTATCCTGCAAAAGTCAATAGATTTCATCATTCTGTTGTGGCCTGAGCAGTTTCTCCCTCCAGGAGCTCCTGACACGTCCCTTGGTGTATCAGGAGGAGGATTCCTCCTGGAGACTGCCTGTATCCACTGGCTGTGACTTGTAGGCTATAGCACAAGGGGAACATAAAGTTTCCAAGTGAGTCAGATACCTCTGGAACTGGAATGTCCCAGCAAGCCCTGGTGAATTGTAAAATATTGCTAATACTGGTTTTGTTCTGGGTTTTAGTTGTTTGGTTTTTTTCTGGTCATGAAGACCCTGGTAATCAGGCAGCATAAATAAGCAGCATAAAGGGTCTGAAAGTGTCTTATCAGAATTGTGTTCAATAGAAAGCATTTTGAAAAGTAATTTATTTGGCAGGTTATAATCTGCACTGATTTAATGAAGTAGTATATAATTCTCTTAGATTGTCAACAGTCAGAAATCATTGCAGGCTCCCAGCCCCACTTGCTGTAGCTGTTGATTTAGAGGAGACCATCTGGCCTGACAGCTTTGAAACCAATCCAGGGGAAAGAGAATGACAAGCTGAAATATTTGTAAATTGCTCGGCAATTTTGCACTTAGGCATAAAATTCCAAAGCAGGGGATGATCCATGGCTATTGCTGTGCTATGATACGGCCAGAATTCAGTAGATAGGCAGAGGATTCCTAGCTTCCAATGTGCCATTCCCAGAGCAAATTGATTCCAAGATTTAGCAGAAGAGCTGGCAGGACCAACTCAGCCATGCTGTGACTTGCAGCCCTGTAGAATCTCTGCTGGTGGAGGACAGGTTACATCTGTTTAAAGAAATCACCAGGCTTCAGTCATCCTATTGATCCAGATAGAGCCAGCATATATTAGGAGCAAATAATCATCTGATATTTCACAATAGCTTGGCTTTGACTGCCCCTGACCTGACTTAGCACTGTGCTGAGCTCTGACAGTTCTCTTTGAATCAGCTGGTGCACTGTTTGCTACAGCTGGGTTTGTTACAGAACTTCCAAGTCTTGTTTTCTGTACTTAAAAGAGAATACAACTGTGTGAACTTGCTGTAGCAGATTTCCCTGCCTATCATTTTCAAAGGAAGCTTGGGATTGTTCTGGTTACAATGCAGGGATGGGGGCAGGAGGGCTCAGACTCCAGAGTCACTGAAGTGACCTCAAAGCCACCCAAGCATGTCTGATGTGTTTGCAGAGCAACAACCAAGCTGCGTTTGAAGTTTGAGGTATGCAGAGAATTGAGCAAGCACATGGAACTGCTTCCGAAAACAGGCTACATCCAGGCTCAGTCATCCTTCAGTGCACAGCTCAAGTTCCTGCCCAGGTAACCAACATTAATCCAACTCTAATCTTTCAGGATTTCACACAGTGTCAGTGGAAAAGCTGAGCAGGGTTGCTGTTCCCTCCTGCTGTCCAGGCTGGACCTCACAGTGCTGCTGCAGTGCAGGTCTGGTCTCCCCCCTGTCCCCCTGGAAGCTGCCAGATGCTCCAGGAGGAAATGAACTTGGCTGCCAGGGCTGTGAGGCAATGCCCTCCCTGTGGTGACAGCAGCACAGTGACAGTCTGAGCTCTCGTATTCCTGGGAGGCTGCTCCTGTTCTGTGGGAAGCTATTATTGTCCAGGAGGGAGGTTATTGAGGCAGGTGGCAGCTTCATGGATCACTGATTGAATAATTTCTGGACAAGAACTCCTGTGTTTGCTAATTTAGGTGAGAGTGGTTGGGCTTCCTGTCCATGTCTCTCCTCCCCAGGTACATTTTTCTTGAAATGATGATGGTTTTGATAATGAATTTCATATTGTGTTTTATGTTACATCTCCTGATGCTGAAAGCTTTATCCCAGCAAGATTTGCTTCTCCATTTTATGAAACATCTACAAATACAAACATAGCTCAGTGATAGGAAACAATCCCAGTTTCTAAAACTTAAATAACAGAGCTCCCATCAGCCACTGTTCATTTTATTTACCTCATCATTGCCATCCTATAGAATTTAGCAGGACATTGTTTTCAAAAAATAATGACTTATGGAATTCATTTTGGTGTACAGCCAAATACTTCAGTGTCTTTGGCTTTGACTGCTGCTGCAAACCTGCTGCTTCTGTGATATGGATTTTTAGTCCCATGGATTTGTGTTTGGATTTTCACAGATGTGCTCAGCACCTCTGGATTCTACCCTGATTTCAAAATTTTCACCAGGTTGGTATTCAAAGAACTAAATGTATTTACAGTTCTTGCAGCATCTCAAATCCCATCAGATTACGACAGTAACATGATAACATATTCTGTCCCTGAACTTCAGCTGCTGCAAAGTACCGCTACCCTCTCCAAGGGGATGAAAGCAGAGCTTGGATTTAGAACCTTAATCTTCCTTTAAAAAACAGGGAAGCTTCAGCAAGGAGATTTGATAAAATTAAGGCATTTCTGACACACAAAATAAGTATCTGGCTGTTTCAGGGTATGGATCAGTTTTAAAGACCTAATGCAGGGGGCAGTGCTGGGAGCTGAGGGGAAGCACTGAGCCAGTGACACATTTCTGTGAAGGCCTCTCAGTGAGCTGGCATTAGGAGCTCTATTAATAGAGCAGCTGTGTTACAAGTGACACCAAAAGGAAAGGAACCCCCCACTCAGCAGTGCTGAGGGAGCAGGGAGCTGCCTGAAGGTTTGGGAAGTTTTCTCGAGTGTTCTGTGCACACAGACATGCTTGGGCAGGTGTTCCAAAACCCAGCTTCTGAGAGTTTAAAGCCAACATTTCCAGTTTAGTTGAAGGCACATTCTCTACTCTGCTGCCTTTTACCATTCCCAAACACCATGTTCTGTAGTTCCCTGCATTTGGAACTAGTCCTGCTCATACTGGCAGTCTAAATTTGATTTGTCTTTTTGTGCTCCTCTTTAACTGTGCCATTTTCAGAGAACTTTCTGAAGGACTCCAGGACTTTTTCCCCAATGTAATTTAGAGTCCATCCCCATGTCCATAGAGTTACAAGTGTTTTCTTCCCCCTCTGGATTATTATGAAATAGATTAATTTTTTTTGCTATTCAGATGTCCTCTGACAAAGTGAAAGCTGATGCTCTGCTCCTCCCTTCCACTTAACCTCAGTTCTATGTGTAAAGAAATTCCCAACACTTTTCAACATCACTCTTAGAGCAAAATAACAGCAAGATTTTGGATCACCACGGTGACTGAGTGACTTTAACAATACATTAAAGAGTTGCATGCAATTCCATGAGTAGTAGTAGAACATGAGCACTGTGGAGATCCAAGAACAGGAAGCAACGCACTCTGGTGCTCTGAGATATAAATAGAGCAGCAGAGCTAAAAATACTCCAGGTTTGTATTGTCTTAGCTTGAAGCTCTGGAATGGAGCTTGTGACAGCAAGATGCTTCACCTAGAGAAAACCTGTATATTCCTTATAAATTCCCAGTCTGGTTGGTAATCAGGCACTGCTGGGCTCCAGGTTTGTTCACTTTATGTCTCTGCTTTGGGATACAAACTGGTTCTGCCTCAGGCTGATCATTAACACCAGTGGCCAGAGGGAGCCACTGCCTTGGCTGGGCTGGCGACATGCTGGGGCTGCAGCGAAGCTGCACAGGGTTTATATTCTGATTGGAGAGTAAGCTTTTAATTTTTCAGAATTTTAAATGACCGGATGGCATTTAAAAACAAAAAGGATAAATGATGGCATTTAAAAACAAAAAGGATAAATGTACGCTGACCTCTGTGAGTGGTCTTAAAATCCCATGTCCAAAATCCTGTCTTTAAAAACAAAAAAAAATTCCGATATAACTGTACAAGGTAAACCATTCTGACATTGCTGTCTTGCAGCCCATGCCCTCCTGCTCAGAGCATTGCCTGGGGGTCCCAAGATGAAGGAAATCTGGGACAAATCCAGAATCTTCCTTGATCTTCTTGACCTGACCTTGATATTCTTGACCTGACTGCATCTTCTTTCCCTTGGTCAGGAGGTGGGCCTAGATAGGTCACTAATTTTTTATTGGTATTTTCTTGCACCATTCTTTTACCATTTTCTCTAATATTTAAATTTATCTTGAAAGCAGAATTTTAATGAGAATTCCCTTTAGTGAAGAACTGGAGTTGATGCTTAACCAGGTGACTGCTCCAATTTGAGGACAATTAAATGAAGATTAAAAGCTTTGAATAATAAAACTTTCAGACCTTAAGTAACAGGATTCAGTTTGTTTTTCTTTCTGTTTGGAAATAATCCATCAAAAGTCCATTGTTCCCCTTGGTGAGAAAATAGTTAGAATGTTTTAATGGCACTTACTGTACTTTGGATTTGTACTTTTGTGTTTTCAGGAAGTCTCTTCCTGAAGATGCAGGGAGGTATTTCAATGCAGAGACAGGAATCCTGGAGGTTCCAGTGACAATCCTCATCGTGAACAAGGTCAGGGATTTTTGTGATGCTGATTATCAGACTGACAGTTTATGTAAATTATTTTAGTGAATGTTCACTTAAAGGTATCTAATTTTAGATTAGTTCTTTACTAATTGGGGCTCTGTGATATTAGTAAAAGATGCTTAAAGTGCTAATACAGATTTGATGTTTTTTTCTTGTCTCATGTTTGCAGTACAGGAAGTTAAATCCTTTCTCCTCAGTGCTGATATCATGTTACTGTCAAGGAACAGAGTAACTTTTTCTTGCACTTTTCCTGTTGGAGGACATTTCATTTAAATCCTGTCCTTACAACCCACAGATAGAGGTGTTACTCCTGTGCTTCTGCATTTGTTTCAGGCTAAAAAAGTTAATTTTACTGTCCATGCCATTGTTACTACTTCTGATTTGGAAATCAGCCCAGAACAGATCAACTTTGGATACTGCACAATCTATGAAGCTGTGCAAGCAAATGTCATCTTAACAAACAAATCCATCTTGCCCCAGGAGTTTGGATTTGTGGGACTGCCAGAGGTATGGATTTACCCACAGGCAAAAGAGTACACCTCCTCTGCTGTCAAAGATTTCAGTGTCATGGGAACATCTTCAGTGTGAGTGTAAATAAATCATGACTGGTTCTTGAAGCCCCTTGGGAATCCTGCTCCCTGTGGACTTCTGTCCTGGCGTGTGTGAATCTCCCTGGGTGACACCCTCTGCATTGGCAAAGCAATGCAAATCCCTGGGAGGAGATTTTCCTGTTCCTGATCTTTTCCTATCAGAATTCCTGGGTTTTTACACCAAGAGATCTCCTAAGAGAACACCTGGGGCACTTTTACCATTATATAAAACAGGCTTGGGGCTGTGGCCTCAGGTAAGAAATGTGCCCACTTTGCACCAAATGCCCAAAGGCTTTACCTTTAAAGTGCTCCTTGGGAACCATCCCAATCCATGCCTGGGCACTTTCTGAGTCACTAGAAGTTGATGTGAAAGCACAAATTTAAGCACAGGACCTGCTGGGTTCATGTGGGCTGGGTCTCCTGAATAAATTTTTGGACAAAGTTGGTTCTTCAAGCTCCATAATAGCAGTATGAAATGGCTGGGCATGTTGGCATCAGAGCTGGAGGAACCTGGCAGTTAATTAGGCATTGTCCTGTTCTCTGCTGTCTTAGGGATTAAAATCAAGGAGTAGCTAAAATAAATTGTTAACTTCAGCTTCATGGAAGCTGTACTTCCCAGCATTGTTTCCTGAGGAGCTTGAAGAGTGATGGGAAGACTTTCTTGACTTATCTTTAACTTAAGCACAAACCACTGCACAGCTGTGGATGTGGAACTGCTCCTGTCCCTGTGGTGTCCCTGCCTCAGACATGAATCAGTTCTCAAAGACATGGGGCAGCTGCTGAGATTTTTACCATATTACATTCAGTTTTATGTGAAGAGTAAATGAACAGTAGAAGAAGGCGATTTCCACAGATGGGAAGAAGCTGGGGAAGGGATTCTCCTGAAATCTGAGTTAATGAATGTAATGCCTTTTGAGTTACTTTGAGATGAGAAGTCTGCCCCTCAGACTCTGGACATTGACTCAGACAAAAACTTCTCCCTGGAAGGTTTCTCTTTTCCTGACGGTTCCACATTTAATAACAATTTTTTAAAATCTTGCCAGTAATGTCTTATTTTATATTACTAATAAACTGATAATTTAACTAATAATTTCTTATCCTGCCATTTTTCAGTTTGTTGAAGTTCAGCCCAACAATGGATTTGGAATTATTCTTCCCCTGGAAAGCCTGACACTGGACATAATCTTTAAAGCCACCAAGGCAAAAGAGTACAGCTTTGAGCTCTCCTGCAGGACAGAGATCAACAGGTGTGTTAATGCATGGACAGCTGGGAAGCTAAAATCTGAATGTCACTGAGCTCCTACTGTTAATCCAGTTCAGAAATTGAATCCCTGCCTGCCTTGGGGAGGTGAGGCTGGGATAAGGTGAGGCTGAGACAGGTGGGAATTCTCCAGGTGCAAGAGTTGCTCAGTGTCTGTTGGTTTCATCCTAAGTTTTCACATCTGTCTTTACCGAGATGACTTTTCCCACCCCTCCTCAAGTTTATTCTTGTCCCACACCCAAGTTGCAGCCCCTCAACCTGAAGTGCTCTGCTGCTTATTCAGCACAATTACTGAAGGAATTGTTTTTTGTAAAAATGCTTTACTCCTTAAGCCAATGCTTCTGCAATAATGATGGCATAAACTTTGATTTGACTGTATGTATTTCCAGAAGTTCACAGAGGAAGAATTCAAGCAGGGACTCTGGCCAATTGTGCCTTAAAAATAGATAGTATTATTGTTCATCTTTAGGCAAAATTCCCATTGCAAGCTTGAAATTCTGCTTAAATAGGGACTACAGGATTAGCTCCCTATTTTCCGGGCTGATTAAGACACTATTTTATGCTGAGACAATTTATCATGTGTTTATTTTTAGACAATTCAAGCTGTCATGCAAAGCAGTTGGAGTCCACCCACCTCTTGAATTGTCTCATTCCTTGGTTCAGTTTGCTGCTACAGTCCTGAACTCTGCGTCTTCAGCCACCCTGGATGTGCTTAATTCCCACGTGGACAGGAACCCCCTCACTCACCCTGTCCCATGGATTGGCAGTGGGAACCCTGTCCCAGTTGGCCCCACTTGCTTTGAATTCCATGTGCCCCAAGACTGTCCTGTGACCATTACACCTTCTGTGGGAACTGTGCTGCCTGGGCAGGTAAATTCACTTTAAATGTAGGGTGTTCTGCAAATTTTTGATCATCTGTATGCTTAGAAAGGCTGTCACTTGTAAACAAAACATCAACTGTTGTTAAAATAGCTGGAATATTTTGTATTGTTTGAAAGAATGTTTTAAATCAGACAGGAGGGTTAAGCACCGAATCTGGCTAATGCCTTATGGGAGTGCTCTGTCCCCAGTGTTGTCACTGTGATTGATGTGAAGAATGTTTAAATATCAAAAGTATTGGCCATGTAAAGCCAAGCCACTGTAACATCCTAGACTTCCAAAAAAGCTGCAAGTGCCCTTATCCTGAGGATGTTGTGATTCCCTCAGAGCAGAAGTGCACTGGATGTGTGAATTGTGTGCTGCTCTGTATGTGCTCCTGTTGAGCTCTGTAGGTGTCACATGTGTCTGAGGGCTGAGCTCTGCCCTCACTCCTCTGTGTGCTCTCACATTCCCAGAAAAGCTCCATCCGAGTATCCTTCAGCCCGGTGCTGTCAGATCAGCAAATCAGGGAGGAGGCAGCATGGAGGCTCAGCACAGCAGCTGTGCCAGAGGCAGGAGCACAAGTAAGGAATGCTAAGAACAGCACATGCTGTTGGTCTGTCACTTCCAGATATTTGTTTCTCTGGATGGTATTTTTATCATAAAATTATTTGCATATTAATGAAGCCCAAGGTTGTGGTCTATGCAGGACCTGCCTATAAAGAATGATAGTGTGACTGTGCACTCAGTGTGTGGCTTGTTCAGAGCAATAATTTAATTTCATGCTCACAATTTCCAAAGTGTCCTTAGAGGGTTTTATTGCAAATGCCAGCTGAAATACTCTTTACGAAAAAGAAAAAGAAACTTCTACACTTCCTGAAAATTGGCAGCATCCATTGACTTTATATGCAACCCTTAGGTCAGTTAATTTTGTGAGCACCTGTGATTGTCTTTGATTATGAGATAAACAGGTAAAATTCCCATGAGATACAGACTTCTATTCATCTGCTCCAAGAGGAGACCTCTTCTTCTAAGAGGGGATAAAATATGTCCATTTCAACCTAATTTTTAAATTTTACAGTATTGGAAATATGTCTGTAAGAGCTACTGTGTCTGTGGGCTGTCACTATCATCCCATTGTCCCTTGTCCCCTGCTCTGTGTCACCTCTTAGCTCTGTGTTCTTGGGCCAGGGCTGTGTCTTTGCTCACTCCTGTCTTGGTCAGATTTCCAGAAGTCCCCCTCAGTCTCCGATGGGCAAAAAGAGGAAAGATTCAAAGAAAGAGCGAAAAAAATCAAGCATTTCCATTCCCAGAGGAAAGGCTGGAAGCAGGAAATGCCTGGCTGCTGTAAATAGCCCTAAAGAGACAGAACCTGAAGAGTTAAAGCCCAAGTAAGTAAACAGAAGCATCTTGTACTACACAGACAACATTCTCTTTAGAAGTAGTTTAATAAATCCACTAAAAGTGTAGGTAGACAAGACAGCAAACTGGAGAGGGAACAGCTTCAGCTGTGTTGCAGAGGCTGTTTCCAAAATTAGTGCTGCTTGTGAGCCACACAGCTGTACCCTCTCATGTGAGGCAAAGAATCCCTTTATGCATCAGAAGGATTGAAGACTTCAAAGAATCTGTCAGGGAGCAGGAGCTGGGGCTCTGCGGGGGATGGGACTGAGCCAATACAGGGTTTATGGAAAGGGCAACTGCAAAGCTCAACTTGGGGACCAACCAAAACTACTCAAAGAAACCTTTTTTGAACAGATCTGTCAGAACCAGATGATGGCCCAAATCCATGCCAGGGAGTAATTTCTATTTTTAATTTGAGGGCTTACATAGTCCAGCAATTTAGTCATGGTCAGTATCAGTGCTGGCAGTGAAATACTGCTGGGAAATGTGCATTTGAAGCAGTTCCTGTGCGGTGTGAGCACCTCAGGGAGAGTCAACATCAATAGCATTGCTGCCTGGAGGCTGGGAGACTCACATGCAAAATCTGATATTTGAGGGTCCTTGTACACCAGGTAATTCAACTTCTCAGAGCCCCAGACTTCTGCCCAGTCTTAGTAATTTGCAAGTATTTAGAAGTAAATACATACTGAAGCACCAGGCATTTGGCTGTACTGGATGTTTTGATATTTTTTACTAAAATCCCATGCCCATTGCAACCCATTAATTATAATTTTTAAGCACTTTCAACAGAGATCGTAAAAATAAAATTCCTATTTTAGAAGTATTGCATACATATTGCATTAGAGGAGTGTGATCATGTGTGTTTACATGTCATTGAAATGTAGAAGTACTGGAAGACACTGAAATACCTGATGTATTCAACCAAAGCAAATTGGATTGAGGTTTTTGCAATCTTTAGTGTAACATCCGTTATATGGGTTCTTAATTTTTATTCTCTTTTGGCAACAAAAGCCAACCACTTTGTAAGGTGGGTCCATTACTGACAGTCATTTAGTTAGGTGTGACTAAGAAACAATAATCACAAATAGCTCAGCAGATATTTATTTGTTTTTCTTGCTCTCTCACTCACGAGATAATTCTTATTCCTGGATTCTCTAGTTCTGATGTTTATAGAGCAGCCCAGTTTTCCCTGACAAAGAGTTTCAGAGGGAGTTTTAACAAATACATCATCCCATGCTTTGTTGCAAGTGGCCACACCACTGGAGAGGAGGGCCCTGGGAACTTAACCTGCAGGTGGGTGCAGTTGGATAACCCAGAGGTGTGAGGGGGAAAGGGTGGGCTTGCTAATTTATTCATTTGGGGGAGAAATTTGTTTTCTGATCCTAATTACTTCATAGCTCAGTGGTAAGAAACTCAAGCTCCCAGCCCACCAGTTGGATAAGAATCAAACACATGAATATCAAAGCAGCTGAAGGAATAATTATGTGAAAACTTTTAGGCAGCTGTAGCTCATCTCTGCTCAGGCACAGACAGTCAGTGACCAAGCCCTGTGCTGTCACACCACTGCAGTGACATCATGGAAGGAGTAGATCCCTGGCAATAATTGTTATCTCTGTATGAACCCAGAGCTCTGCCCTTTAATTCCCCAGATCCCTTTGCTCTCTCTCCAGCCCTCACAACACCTTGTACCTGGAGCTGCACTGCCCTGCTGTACCCCCACCTGTTCTGATCACTTCCGACTCCGGGATCAATGCGGCCAACTTTGGGGACGTTTCTGTAGGTATGGAATTTGAATTCTGGTTTGGAGTGGTTTCCCTCTGACAATGAGTTCTTGCCAGTAGAGTTTTGTATTTTCAAAAGTCAGGATAGAAATTAGCCCTTAGTGGGTATTTAAGTGGAAAACAAGGAGCCTCTGGCAAGCTGAGGCTCATGAGAGAGCAGACCTGATCCCCAACCATGGACCTGAAAGCTCCAGAAGTGACTGGCCCAATCTGAAAGCATTTTGGTGAGCTTTGAGTAGTGCCTTAGCCATAGGCCTGGGATGAGTGCCTGGCCTAGGCAGGAGCAGGAGTAAGGGGGAGGAATGGGAGGGCAGGAGTGACCATCCTCACTTTGGGAAGTGTTTTCATTCCTTGCAGGCCACAGAATGATGAAAAGAATTACAATAGAAAACATCTCCCCACAGAAGCTGGAAGTATCCTTGATTGGAGCACGTGAGCTCAGCCTTCAGCCTCTGCTTAATCAGACTGTCTCTGCAGGAGACACCAGCTCAACTCTCTCTTGAGTTATTGATCTCTCAAAAGCTTATAGATGCTTAGTTCAGACCAAAGACATGTAAACAATATATAGAATCTGTTCTCATGTCTTTTTTCTCAATCTTTATGAACTTTTTTCCTTGAGTTGCACTGTTTTAGCTGGGATTCTCAGTTCTGAATCCCAGTGGCCCTTTCCTGTTGGTCAGAGCTGTTGGAACGCTTGAGCCAGGTGAAAAGAAACCCCTCATCATATCTTTTTGTCCAAGTGAGGATAAATGGGTGAGTAAAAGATACAACAGCAGTGGGGGAAAGGAGAGATGTGAGGGGTGTGTAACACACACATGTTACCAACAGGAAGAACTTCTGTTCCCTGTCCCAGCATTTGGATCTTGTCTCAGTTCTGGGATGGCTCTTTGGGAGGGGTCAGCTGGAGGGTTGGGGGTTCCCTCAGCAGATGGACTAACTCAGGCACCCTCTTGGGCAGTTCTTGGAAACTCTGGACATCCAGGTGGGAAAGACCAACCTCACCCTCCACCTCTCCGGGCATGGGGTGGTGCCAAGCACTGAGTGCTCCGTGGGAGAGGTGCTGGACATGGGATACATCATGGCCAGAGACACGGTGACTGCCACAGTCAAGGTAAGGCCTCTGTGCTGAACTGCAAAGCAGGAGTTCTTGTGAGGAGGAGGAGAACATAAACGGTCTCCTTTTGGATTTCGTCCAATGTGTGTCAATAACCAAAGTCCAGTATTTGATGGGGAATGGGGGTTGGTATGACACGTTATGGGCAGCACTGATTGTGCCTCTGGTGGCATGTGGGGACAAAGAGCTGCACTAATGTGGCAAAATTAATTCAGCCACTTTGCAAACTATGGATCTTACAGGCCTGAGAATCAATTTCCATAATGCAAATGCTGTTATGTGAATGAATGTCCCCAGATAGAGAACACTTCCAACCTGACCCTGCTGTTCTCTGTACAACTGGAGTCGCTCTCACCAACATGGGACAGAGACAGGCAGAAAATTCCATCCTTTCTTACATCTTCTATGCAGAGAACAGAGATTGTTGGTAAACTTTCTTTTATTCTTTCCTCTTTTTCCTCTGCTAAATACTCAGGAGGTGTAAAGCAGCATCACTGTGTCCTCTTAGATCCACTCAACTGTCAGACCTGGGGCATCACAACCCTGAAGTTAAAGATCTCATTTTGCTCCCCAGTAGGAGCTGTAGTAATTCTTTCAATATGGGGAGCTGTAAATTTATACAGCCTGAGCGAATACCCACAAGTGAGGAAATATTAGTCCTTAAATCTAAATAAATCCACACAGTAATTGCATATTAAAGATTAGATTTAAAGATGTTCATCTCTGTACAAATACATTAGAATATAGGAAGGGTTGGTGATGCTGTTTCAGTTCCTCTGGAGATGAATGCATCGAACTGATAGATGGATTTTTCTGGTGTTCCTAACACCCTGTTTTGCTGCAAAGCCATGTATTAGCTCTTATTTATTTGCTGTTCCAACAAAAATTAAATGGGTTTAAAATTCATGAAAAGTAAAACAGAACTATCCTCCTTTCTTATCTGTATCCTCATTTTTATTTACTAGGAACACAGAACTATAATGGCTCCAGTGTGTTCAGTGTCTCTCCAACAGAAGGAAAAATTGAGGCTGGGAAGACCCAGGATTTTGTTGTTACTTTTAGTCCTGATCATGAAAGTCTCTACTACTCTGACTGTCTTAAGGTTCTGCTCTTTGGGAAGGTGAGACAATCAGGATCATGAAAACAGTCTAAATGCTGGATGAACTGATGTAGGGAGGAAAGGGCACATTTGGGGGCCCTCTGACATTTTTCAGGTTTAGATATTCAGTTATTCATTGATAAAAATAGTGATGTGGGGTCCATCCCTGTCCTCTCTCAGGGCATGGTCAGGAGGGGACAGGAGATGAGCACAGCTCCCAGGGGCTCCTGCAGGGAGCATTTAATGGCGGAGCAAAGGGGAGAGGGGAGCTCCACCTGCCCAGTACAGCCCAAAAGGAGCAGGAGCACCAGGGAGCTGCTCTTGCAGCCGCTCAGTGCCACGTTCCATCTGTGGAGCTGCCCTGGGATGCTCTGGCCGGATGCACACGGGCAGCCCTGGGCCCCTGCCAGGACATCAAAAGTTAGTGCAGAGTGACCACTAATGCCCAGCAACAGCACTGCAAGCGGGCTGGGGCTGAGCGGGAGCTGCTGCTGTCCTTGCAAGCTTTGGATTGCAGTTAGGAATGAACAGCAGGATAAGCTGAAGACGAATGGGCACTTGACCCAAGTTTGGCAACAGAAAATTTTTGCTTCTTTTAGTGGCCTTTGTATAAATCGTTTTTCCAATGCCTTCCTGAGACACATTTGCCAGGTTGTTTAAAATAGAAGTGCCAGACTGGGCAAGCCCAGGGGCAGGTGCAGAACTCCTGCATTAGGGCCCAGGATCATTGGGATCTTTCACGTGGGAGGTGATTTCACAATTTCCTGGGCCAGGTCCCAGCATCGTTCAGGTGATCTGAGCTGTCACCAGGACTTTTTGTCTCACCCAGCAAACAGCCCACAAGATCCACCTGAAGGGTGCAGCCCGGGATCACCTCATGTTTGTGGAGGGGGGAGTGCCCCTGGATGTACCCATGGAGTCCTTGGCTGTGACCTCATCTGTGGCACCACAGGAAGGAGGTAAAGTGCCACCACTGTTTATTATGGAACGGGGGGGATCAGGCATGGGAATGTTCCTCTTCCTTTAAGAAAAAAGGAAATTAAAGACAATTTTTCCAGAATCAGAAAAAATAAGCATTATGTTACAGCATATATTCATAATGCACAGAAAAACCCACAAAACTTTCTCTTAAGGAAAGTTTTTATCTTCATTTTAATGCAGTTCTCTCTTAATGATCATCTTCCACTTCTGCAGCTTCCCTGCAAAATTTATTATAATGTAATACTACTATGAAGAATTAGATGCATTTGCTTTCTGCTACTTCTCTGAGGTGTATTGAATGTTTAAGAAATTATTTCATATATAATCACATATCCTGGATTGTCCTGTTTGTCCTGTTATGAAACTTCCAGGGGTTTGAAGTTACTCTTCCTTAATTTCTTGGGACAGGATCTGTGTTAAGAGACAGGATGCAAACAGCTCCTGACTCCTGAGTTTTAAATAATTCTAAGCACATACACATAAGCTGGAATAAAGTACACAGAGGTGTGTGCCATGGGCTAGAAACTGAGCCTGGAACTTGATAAACACGTAACAGTTGCAGTTTGCAATTACGAATTATCCAAACCCTCTTTTTCCTTAATTCCTCACAACTCTGTAAAAGGATCTCTTTTTCTCTGCCAGCTCCTGAGTTTGACACATCATTTTGTTTTGAACCATAGTGGTGCAATTTCTGTTGGCTCCAAACTGCCAAAGGCAGTTTTGACTGTCTCAAAGTTGACCTGGTTGCTGTTTGTTTAGGGCCACAAGAAGCAGTGAGGTCTCTTCTCCTGCTCCTGGAGTACATGGAGAGCTCAGCAGAGCCAGCCAGGGCAGAGATCACCATTGGCACCATGCAAAGTCCTCTGCTGGCAGCCAAGAAGGTGAGGGAAATAAAACCTGCAGGTTTGTGCCAGGTGCTGTATGGGATCCTGACAGTGTGCAGAGGTCTGCTCATTCCTTCAGTCCAAAATTCACAAATTCATAAATTAAAAAGATCAGCTTTCAGAGTTTCTGGTAAATTTTACATTATAAAAGCATCAGTGTTTGAAAACATTATTTCCCAGGGGCTAATATAAGGAATTAGCATTATCATACTAAGTCAGCAACAACCTTAATTTATGAGTTTGCTTCCTCAATTCAGGAATACAGAATTTTGAGCCCAGAACTGATTTACAGTTCCCATCCTGGTATTTCAATGGAGTATTGCGTGATGAGGTGACACAATGAATGTCCCAGTGGATAGCTGGTGTTTTGTGGGGCAGTTCGGGCAGGGGCAGGGCAGCGGCCCAGGTGTGACTGTGCCTTCTGTCCGTGCCAGGCCGTGGAGTTCAGCCTGGACAGCGGCCCGGAGCTACAGCAGGCGGGGTTCACGCTGGACGGTACGAGGGGAGCCCTGGAGCGCGGGCAGCTGCAGCATATCAGCGTCTCATGGATGCCACCTGCCGACCTGCAGGTGAGGCACGGCCCGGCGCTGGCACCGGGCTCCTGGCAGGGTCACACCGGGCTCCTGGAGGGGTGTCACACCGGGCTCCTGGAGGGATGTGACACACAGTTCCCGTTGGGGTGTTATCCAAGGCTCCTGTCAGGATGTGACACCAAGGTCCTGTTGGAGTATCACACAGGGCTCCTGTCAGGGTGTGGCCCAAAGATCCTGCTGGGAGTGTGACACAAAAGTCCCATTGGGATGTGACCCACAGTTCCTATTGGGGTGTCACTCACAGTTGGGATGTCACCCAGAGCTTATATTGGATTGTCACACAAAGTTTCTGTGACCCACAGCTCCTGTTGAGGTGTGACCCACAGCTGCTGCTGGGTGTGGGCAGCACAGGTGGCTCAGACACAGCGAGGTGACAGCTCCTGTGTGGTCCCTGAAGGAGCAGGGGTGGTACAAACCCCCTTTTGGGAACAGAAGCTGGAACAATGAGATGATCTGGAGCCTTCCTGCCTCCCCAGGGCTGTGCTTGGCTGTGTGGTGGCAAGGACAGGGGTGAGCCACTTGTATCCCAGAGGAATCCCTTCCTGCAGGGAAGTCCAAAGGCCAAAGTGCTGCTGCTGTTAACAGGGTCTGGTGCCCTGAGTGAGCTCTGTAGGGCCCTGGGACAGAACTGCTGCAGCCTTGCCAGCGCAGACCTGACTTTACATGGATCACTCTGCAATACATTTCTTTGCCATGGGCTGCCTTTCCTTTGGCACATTCCAGAAAGTCAGTCAGTCACATTCCTGGGGCCTTTGGACTTTCCACTTTAGGTGCCCCATTTCCCTGGCTACTTCTGCCTTGTATCATAGAGGTTGGATATGATGTCTCAACAACTCCATGAGGCTGTGATTGCCCTTCCTGATTCACCTCCTTGGGCATTCATGGAGACTGAAGACATTGACTCCCTGTGTGTGGGATGGCAGAATGAGTAGCTGGTTCCAAAATTAATAATATTTCTGCCATCACACACAGAAAGAGGCAGCAGAGTTTCTGGCAGGATGTATCCAGTCCACATCGTGCCTCTTGGTAACCTCTGGGTCTTGTACAACACTGAGCATTTACTGGGGGCTGACAGGATCTGTTTCCTTCCAGCCCTCTCTGGGAGCTCTGAGGTTGCTGCTGTGCCCAGTTGCCATAGCTGTGATGTGGAGACAGTCTCTGTGGTACTCTGGGTACAGAATTCTGAGTCACTGTCATACCTCACTGCCTGCAGCATGAGCATCACTTGGGGACAGGAAGGAGCCAGCACAGTGGCTGTAACCTGTCACCTCTAGCTATAACTGGTACCTTGAAAATTGAGATGTGAAACACAGATTTTAGGAGGTGATCAGCTTATGTCTCCTATGTTCAAAACACCAGGCTGGTTTTCTGTGTGGTTCTTCCTGCAGACCAGTGACCCCCCGCTTGTGTCAGCCCTCCTTACTGTAAAAGGTGACATTACAGAATCCTACCGAGTCCTGTTCATGGCAAGAATTGTGTCTGCACCTGCTCCCACTGAATGAGGGACCCAGGCCAAATGGAAAGGAAGATGGAGGCTACATTACTGTGAGATCCCTGGATCTCTGGTGAAACATGGGAAGATTTTGAGATTGCTGCAAATAAGTGAGGGCAGCAGGGACATGGGAAGGAAGGGCCATGTAATATTTCTGCTCTGTTTCATCCAAAGTTTTCTGTAAACTCTGGTGCCAGTAGCTTCATTTTCCAGCTGACTCTGTGACAATAATCTTGTGTTAGAAGAAAGAATTACTGAGGGCCCCAAGAAGCTACACCTGCTGTTAATCCCATGTCTCCCAAAGGTGGGCAAAGGAAGAGTATCTGGTTTACATCCACATAGGTGAGTTTCTATATTTTTCCAATTTCAGATGCTTTTTGTAGGATTTGTAAAAGCCTTGACTTTTTCTTTTTTAAGACCAGAATAAAGTTTCTTATTCAAGCCTTCTCCAAATCATTCAGGCAGTCACTTTTACAATGTACAGTCAAATCTGCCTGGTAACACATGGTCATGGGAGAATATCCCTGTGCTGTTCCCTGGATATGGCCAAGCATTTGCCAGAGAGCCTGGCTGTCCAGGAACTTTGTATTTCTATATTTGCCTTCTGCTGAATTCCAGCTGTGAAAAACGAAGTTCACTCCTGTAAAATTTTAAAAAGGTTTAATAAAGACAATAAGAGACATAAAGTAAGCAAAGAGTTACGGCCGGGTGCCTTGGCGCGCTGCCAAGAGCACACCTGGTATCTCGGGAATACCCTTTTTATCCCATCCTTGCTGTGAGGGGTTAATGCATATTCAAACATGTCCCCTCCCTGGTTCCGCCTTCTTGGATCATGCTCTTCACAGTTTTATTTTCTGCTGGTCAGCATATTTTTTGCTGGTCATCATTATTCTAGCTGATCAGCATTATTTTGGAGTTTTTGGTTTCCTTTTTTCTGCAGATGGTCACTTGTTGATAAGAGTCCGGGCCCCTCATCCTTCCTCTGAGAGCAGATGGGCTTCATATCTTTCCCCCCCGCCAACGTCCTGGTACCGGCTTTTTGATAACAGTTTGCTCTCCATTTCCTGCTGCTGATAATAGCCTGTTTTCCACAGCTTGATCCTCCCATTGTCGTGCCTGTTGGAGTTATCTTGCCTTGTCCGGATGAAACATATCCTTACCATTCAGAATTCCTATCTAAGCCTATAACTTGCTAAGAGAGAAAAGAATATAGTGAAAGCATATAATATACATTTATCAGAATAATTGTGAAAAGCCAATATTTACAACATGAATTCACAACAACCCCTCCTTTTATTTTTTTTATAAATCATTTGGCTTGAGCAATAATTCTTGTTTCCTAGCTTCTAGCACTCGTTCATTTTTCTCACAAATCAATTTAGCTTCTTCTAGCGGATCTTTCACATTATTTTGTTTTCTTAATATCATGATTTTTTGTGCCGTTCCAGATGTAGCCAATTTTGGGTCTGTAGGCATTGCTACTATTTGCATGCCCTGCACCACTTTGGTGATTAGTTGGATGAAACAGGGGATTAGACAAGGAAGGAATATTAAACCAGCTGTAGCGCATAGGAGGAAGAAACCTAGCTTCTTCCACCATTCTGTCCCCAACAGGTTATTCCACCAATTGGTGGTCATCATTGACTCCCATTTTTGGACTGGCACATGGGCTATTTTTCTGATGTTCTTGGCGATATCTAGAACGGCATTTCCATTGTCATCAATTTGCAAACAACAATCTGATGTATTAAATTTCCCGCAAACACCCCCCTCTTCAGCCAATAGATAGTCCAAAGCCAGTCTATTCTGATATATTGCAGCTCTGGCTTGGCGTTGCTGACTGACTATTAATTCCATAGCCCCAGCTGTTTCATTGGTTATGATTTCTACTACAGCTTGGAGTCTTATAATGCGATTTAGCATGTAAATTGGGGTTCGATATCCCCAACTTCCATCTTGTGCCCAAGTAGCTGGCCCATATGTTTCTAGTATGCGTTCAGGGGGCCATTCCTCATCTCCCCATTTTTGAGGTCCTCCAAACAATTCCCTTTTATTTCTTTTTAGGTCCTCATAAACCGGCACTCCCAATTGATCTCCATCTGGTCCTGGCAAAAGGAAGAATCCTGGTTGAATGATTCCCAGAGTACAACTCCCTTTCCATTGTGAAGGGAGCTTTGGGTATGCCCTTTTCCCACATATCCAAAATAAGCCATCTGGTGCCTTCCAATAGTCATTTTTCTGTTGATTTATATTTTCCCAAAATTTAGATATTTCTGGGATTCCAGAGTAAGGATTTTTCCCTTTACCATTACATCTGAAGAGTCTGGTTCGATTATCATACACACAATTCTTTTCTTTTACTTTTCCTTGAGTCCAATACAGAGTTGGTTCCTCTGGGATCCACCATGTAGAAGTTCCATTGCTAACCTTATACCTTTTACAGGGAGTTTTCCCTATTTCTTTAATAAATTCCTTACCAGTTCGCCATAAACATTCTTCCCCTATCACTGTTGAACTTAGAATCCATCCTTCTGGTCGAGTCCCCCCTCTTATATTGGTCCGGTTCCACTTAAGGAGTTCCACCGGGCCTATGCTACTACCTTTCCATGGCCATTCCTCCGTCATCAAGGCTCCTCCACAGACCCAGCAGTTCGTTATGTTAAGTTCTTTACTTATCCTCTCCCCTAAATCCACAAACAGGTTTTTCCCTAGTCTTGAGATATCTATTTCCCCTTTTAATTGCTGTTTGAGCCTTGCATACAGGTCCTGACGTGAGGTTAAGTTAGGTTTAGGTTTCTGTGTTGGTTTTATCTTTTTTCTTATCACTTGCTCTTTTATCAAATCTTGGGTCTTTCCCTTGACCGCCCCCGTGAAGCAAATCCATTTTTCCCCTTTTGGGCAAGTGCTTCCCAATCTAGTACCACTGACTCCTAAGTTTTCTGTGATCCAATATTTTTCTCCTTTATGTATACAGGTACTTAACTTGGATGGGTTATAGCAGTGACTATTGATATTGGTGTGGGTAATAAGAAAGAAACCCCGGCGTTTTTCCATGTAAAGTTTTCGATAGCATTTGTAACATGGCTTTGCTGGTGTCCCAAAAGGGAAAAGGATAAGTGACAGAAGAAGGAATAATAGGGGTCCAGTATGGCTTACACCCCCACCCATCCTGCCTATGAGGTTGCAGCTCACAGCAGGTGTTTTATATTCTTCTTGGTGGCGAGTTATAGAGGCCAATCTGGTCTTGCCCCCTATTTCCTTGTCACTTCCTCTTTTGTAATTTCCAAGCAAATCTCTTCTGACACCTTTTAACAGTAGTATCCCACCGTTCTTCAGGTATTTCCCACTCAACAGGCACCAGTAATTCCCATCCACAGAACAGAGTTATTATTTCAGTTGCCTGCAATTCTGTTTGGATAGAGGATCTATTATGTGCTCGACACTCCCTACAACAAGAACGCCGATTGTGTGAGCTGCAATACCAATTTTTCCCACAACTTAAACACTTATATTTAACCCAGCTAGCATGTCCCGTATTGGGATGATTTATACAAGGTATATGGTGTGGCACTGATGGAAGTTGTGATTCTCCCCCTTCTTTATACAGATCACAGGCCAAAGCAAAAATATGAGGATTTCCTGACCGAAACAGCCCCGATCCTCCTGTTTGGAGAGGGAGTATTCCTTCCCAAGGTGGATATCGAAGGTGTCTCAGAACTTGTCCAGGCAGAACTTGAAACCACTGATACAGGCTTGGTCTCACTTCCCAATTAGGCGTGATTCTTTGCTCATCCCTTGGATCCTGTGGATTGTCCCAGTTCATTACCACCCAGCCCCCGCTTTAGAGTCAATTTGGTATCACCCGGTTCAGAAGTTATAATCCACTCCTCAGGTCTTTTCACAGGTCCCTTGATTCTACTGGCGTGGATCCAACCTCGCTCCCTGGTCCGGATTGCAGCCTCCGTTGTCAGCAGTACCTGAAAAGGACCTTCCCATTGAGGAGTTAAAGATTGTTCCTTCCATGTCTTTACCAGTCCCCATTCTCCTGGATGAATATTATGAATTTTGAGCTCCAGAGGGGTGGTTTGAGGGATCATTCCTTTTAGCCTTAGGTTTTCAAGTGTTTTAGCAATTGTGGTGACATATTTTCTGACACTTATTTCCCCTACTTCATAAGTGGCAGTTTCATGTCGGGTGGTAAGGAAGGGTAGTCCAAACATCATTTCATAGGGTGACACTCCCAGGTCTGACCTGGGTTGTGTTCGAACCCTTAATAGAGCCAGAGGTAAACATTTTACCCAGGACATCTGGGTTTCAATCATTAATTTTGTTAAGGTCTTCTTTAAAGTTTGATTCATTCTTTCCACCCGGCCTGAACTTTGTGGGTGCCAGGGGGTATGCAATTCCCATTTTATTCCCAAGGTTTGGGTTATTTGCTGTAAGACTTTAGATGTAAAATGTGTTCCTCTATCTGAGTCTATTTTATTAATCATTCCATACCTGGGAATAATCTGTTCCAAAAGAGTTTTACACACCACATTAGCTGTGGCCCTGGCAGCGGGAATAGCTTCCACCCAGTGAGTTAAGTGGTCTACTATTACCAATAGGAACTTCCATTTTTGGACTTGGGGAAGTTCAGTGAAATCCACTTGAATACTTTGGAATGGCCGTAAGGCTAATTCACGGCCACCTAATGGTGTTTTTCTCATTATTTTTCTATTTACCTTTTGGCAAGTTATGCAGTTTTCAGTTATTTGTTTTGCTACCCCAAAAATTCCAATGCATCCAAAATCCCTTAGAAAGTGATCACACAAAGCCTGAGTACCCCAATGAGTTTTCTGATGCATATCTTCTAATATTTTTCTGGTGAGTGGCTTATTAAGTAACTGTCTCCCATCAGGGAGTTTCCACTTTCCAGACTGATCCCGTTCTCCCCCTATCTTAAGCAATTCTTTTTCTTCTTTCTCACTAAATTTAGGGATTTCCAATTCTTCCCTGTCTGGGGTTAAA